CTGTTCTGAAACCACACCTGGGGAGAGAAGAGGAGGGGACCTGGGTGACTGCGCGAGGCCCAGGCACAGCTTGGGGTGGGTGTGAGCAAGCAATACCCACAGGGCAGGGAAATGCCAAAACCAACTCCAGCTGAGCAAGGGCAGGCCACCCACCCAGGCCATCCCAGATTGAAATCCTCGAAAGGAGAATTGGGGACCCAGCGTGAGTGACTGTGCGAGAAGTAGGGCCTGCCTCGGCTGGTCTGAGGAGGTAAAAAGCATTTCCCTAGATTTATGGCCCATTTCGTCCCTGTCCTTTGAGACACTGCCTTGTCACTCGCAGCCGCCTGCCTCGGTAGTCTATTTGCCTAGGAAAAGGACGGAATCACCTCGTGGCAGCAGTAGCTGTCTAGGGATTGTCAAGGGGCAACTCTGCACGGCCCAGATTGGAGAGCCCAGATTCCCCAGCTGTAATCCAGGAGATACGTAGCTGGCATTTTCTTGCTGCTAACGCGGGTGTATGCCCACCTCGAGCGTCCTCGCCCAGCGTACCTTGATGGTAGTTTCAGGAAGGTTTAGAGCTGCTGCTAACTCGCATCTTCTCGGCCTTGATACATAGTTCTCCCTGTAGAACTCTTTCTCCAGCCGTGCGATCTGCTCCCGGGTGAAGGCAGTGCGGTACCGGCGCATCTGGTCACTGGCGCTGCAGGCCAGGGTGCCTTGTGAGCCGCTGCTGCCGCTGCCACCGTTGCCCTTGGGGACCTCGCTGCCACTGTTAGGACTGCTCCCCAGTGCATCGGAGCCCGACCCTGCACAGGAGCCCAGAGCACACAGGTGCACACACAGAGACACAACACAGACACAAACAATGCTGATTTTAGGCTGAAGGAGGGACATTAGGAGAACCCTTAAGCTACCTAAAGTCACTGATTAGGGGGGTGGGTGGCTCTGGAAGCTTCAGGCAGACAGGAAGTCTTGTATGATTAGAACAGAAAGGGTTTGGGCCAGCCCTAAAGTGCGTGTTTGGAAGACCTGGACCTAAGGCATGCAGGGCCTAAACGCTCCCAATGTCCTTTCCTTTCCTCTTGCCCCCGGGCACAGCAAAGGGCATACTCCCTGAGCTCTCTGCTCGTGTTGGCAGGGATGGCCATGGATGTGCTGGAATACAACGAACTCTTGAGGTTAATGCACCGCAGATTGTTGGGCACGCAATCTTGGGTGTGTGCCAGAATTCCAGCACAGGTGTGAGAATGCTGGGCCGCGTGTATTGCAGGAGCAGTGTATTTGAGTATAGGTTGTGAGGACATGGTATGGCATAGAATGGGGATGAAAGGACGGCGTGACGGTCGGGGAGGGAGGTGAACACTCAACAAGGGGGCTTTGGCTGCCATCACCTAGACGCAGGTGCACGCCTTTCCCACCCATCCCCGCGGCTTTGTGGAGGTGTGTCTGCTGCTGGGCTCCTGCTCCCAGTTTTTCATTCCCAGGAGTGGATATTGTTGGTATAGAGACTCCCTTCTGAGCTATCCACCCCCCACTCCCATTAGCCCCTGGTGAGAAGGAGCTCTGTAGTTAAAGTACCAGCCCCTTAGACCCACCCCAGAGAAGGGTGGGGCTCTAGCCCCCTGCAGCTGCTTTTCCTTTGGGTGGAGAAGTAAGACTGAGGGAAAGGGGGGAGGGGGAGGGCCCAATCCCCGCCTTTTCAAATGCAACCGGAGACCAAAGGCAATTAGACCATTGGGACCATTTCCGACCTGGCGCCGCCAGCCCCGGGAAGTGACAAGGTAATTTGGACCTCTGACCGACGTGCAAACTGGTCGGAGGGCTGCAGCACTCTGGAGACGAGAGTCCGCCACGATTTTACGGTCCTTTATATACTCTGCGCCTCCATGTGCCTTCCTTCCACCCCTCCAGCCACAAACTGCCCGGACTAGCGTTTGATCTTGTCCTACCCGATGGAAGGTGTCTTCCCGGCTCGGCTGAATCATTCCCACAAAACGCTGGTTGGTGGGGGGGTGGTGCGTTTTGGATCCCTCAAGCCCAGGACTTGTGTCGACCCTGACATATGTCCAGGCACAGCTGTCACTCTCAGTCCCACCAAGGCGATAGCACGAGAGACCCCCACACACATACGAAGGTGCAGAAAGCAAAACAGTTGTTCAGGTGTCCCCCCCACCCCACCGCAGCCATCCTGCCCCAAGGGAAAAGAGTATCTTCCACCTGCCCTGAGATGAAGTAAAGTGTGGGCGCAGTGGGCGGACCGGGGAGCGGAGGGGCAAGGTGGCTACCTTTGCTGTGCTGGTACTCGGCGTTCCCGGTGGCGCAGTCCGGGGTGCAGCTCACCTCGATTTCTTCATAGAAATCCGATTCGGTGTCTGAGCTACTGGGTTGCCCTTGGCCAGAGAGGCTGTCCGCAGAGGGAACTGGGGGTCCCGGGCCAAGCACGGCCGCTCCAGCAGACCGTGGCTCGGCGCCCAGCCCTGCACCACTGCCTGCTAGTCCATCGACCGGCTCCTCCTCCGGGCCTCCCCCACCACGCTCCCGGGCAGTCGGAGGGCCGGCTCGCGGGCTCAGGCAACCGTGGGGCACCATCTTCTCTGGCGGTTCAGGCAGCGGGCTGCTCACGGCTTCGGACAAATTAGAGACCCTCTTACCAACCAGAGTGCCAAGCTGACCCCCATCCAGAAACATAACCATGTCCTTTCGGCTCTCCATCCCCGAGGTCTCCGGATGGGGGAGGGGAAGCCCCCAAGTAAGCTCCTAACCCCAGGCTCCCTGGGATCTTGGCTGAGAAAATGAGCTAAAGAGGCCAGGAGACTAGGCGGGCGCCGAGTAGCCCCAGCGCGATGTCGACGGCTACCGCGGAGATGGCAGTGGGGAGCTAGGGTCACCTTGTGATGCGAGCGCTCCTCTGTGCCGCACCGCCTCTGGGAGGAAGCCCCATTGCCCTCTTCTTTCTAAGCTGTCATCGTCCTGCTGCAATCGTCATTACAGTACCGCTGGTGACGCCACTCGGCGAACGCAAGTGGATAAATAGAAACGTCTGCCACAGCGAAGATGAAAGGAGACCCGCAGCTAATGGCTCGGCAGTGATGCGCCAGGTGTGGGCCTCGCTCGAATGGGGAGGAGAGTGTGAAAACAGAGAGACACACACACTGAGAAAGGGAGACACCCAGGCAGAGAGGATGCAAATGGAATTCCGCAGGCAGAAAAGGGAGCACTTCAGGCGCGCAGCGAGTTCCACCAGGGGCAGCGGGACTCGGTAACTGAAACGCTTTGAAATTTTATTTTATTGTTGTTTGACTTCTATTTTCTTAGCTTGGTGTCTTGATCTAGTACTAATGGAAGAATCCATAGATGCTCTTTAAAAGCTGCTTACAAACCCTGGTTCTCTGAGCACTGATGCAACTGCCTGTCCTTCATGCTGACTTCAAAAAAAATTTTTACAAGCTACTGAAAAACGTACCTCCTCCCAAGTTGTCTGGAGAGCTTGAGCCTGCTTTCCTCCCTTGTCTCCCCAACCCCACCTGTCACCTTTCTGAGAACCAACGTTTATTTTTCTTCCCCAAGAGCCAAGAGATCTTTTTCCCCTCTTTGAAAACCAGCCTTGGGTGCTGACTCAGTATTTCGTGATTTAAGAAAAATAAACTCTCTCTCCCATCCAGATAACCTGGCTTAAATTCAAAGTGTTGGATAGTTTGTTGCTGTTGTTATTTTTCTCTCCCTGTCTAGATGGCCTGACTTGACTTCGGGTTGGCTATTCATAGAAGAAAATGTCTTTCGGTTCTGCAGATCTCCAAGCTGTTTCAGGTATGTCAGGTGGGGAAAGGGTCTGAGAGGTCTTTCCTTTTCTGCTTGTGTTTTAAATATTTTTTTCAGGGGCAACGAATTCTGCCATAAATGGTTTGTTCTAAATGAAGAGGTGCTGACAATCAGGGGCCCTACTCTGGTGGCACTGAAGGACCCCAGGTAGAAGGTGCTGGCGGCCTTCACTGGAGGTTTTAGGGTAGTTGTGGATAAAATGGAAAGTATGGCAGATGGCGTCGGCGGGATTTGAACATGTAAGGTCTTCTCCTGGACTCTGGTAAAAATAAAAGAGAAAGTCGTTGAAATGTCCTGAAAAAAAAAAAAAAAAACAGGTGATCAGGGGTTGGGGTAATCCTTTGAAGACAAGAGGTAAAGTCCTAGGAGCTGGAGCTTTAGAATTATGGGACTTGGTGTTTGGGAGAGGGAATAGACTCTCCTGGGGAGCCTGGCAGATGGGTTCTGATTCACTTTTGAGGGAGGGAGATGAGCACCTTCTAGATTGAGCTTTCTCTCTCTCTCTCTCTCTCTCTCTCTCTCTCTCTCTCTCTCTTCTGAAACAGTTTCCACCAGTGAGCTAGTGAGCAGCCTGCCCACCTAGCTGAAAAGAATGGCTCCTCTGTCCATAGGAAAAGCCCCAGCTTCTAAGAAAGTTCCTACAACTTCCTCTTTGTCATCTGTCTTACCCTTTTCTCATTCTCTCTCCACCCCTCCTCTCCTCAGTCTTTCTAATTTGGGGTTATGGAAATGAAGGAGGACGCAAGAGGCTCAGAAAGAAAAACCTATCTCCACTCCTGTTCCCCACTTCTGTCCTGATGCAGCAAACGTTTGTTAACCTTGCTTGGGGGACAAGGGCAAAGGAGCATGGAGGGTGCTGTCCATGTAGCTATTTCCACTCCCTGTGAGTCCTAAATCCACCATCTGCTGAGCACCGCTAGCCCAGAAATCTAGAGAAATATTTCAGAGGTCAAGAATAATGATGGGGGTGGGTGGAATAGTGGGTCCCAGGACCTTCTGCCCTGAGGAGGTATCCATCAATTCCTGATCCTGCCTTCCTCACTGCAGCTAGAACCTACAGGAGCACCTGGCTTGCTCTCTCTGTTTTCTGAGTCTGTCTGGGGACTGCAACTGCAGCAACATCAAAATCTTCCAGTGCTGCGCCTGTGTGACACCTACTCTCCCTGCCCACCCCCAACCCCCATGAACAAGCCACCTTCTCACAGCCACCTCACTACCCTCCCCCTCAGAGGGAGGTTGGTCCCGAAAGTGACTCTGGACTTCCCTGCCCCGCCCCCAGCTTTGCATTCAATGGGAATGTTCAATGTTTGATCCTGTTTTACTCGGCATTTTCCCTGGAGATGAAAGCAGAGCGGAGTTGTGAGATCAAGGGGTGCCACTTAGTCTCCTTCCTGGGTCAGCCTGATGGAGCAGGGCTTCCCCTTACATCCCCAGGAGGGGGGCTCAGACTCTCAGAAGGCGGTAGCCTCCTCTCAGCTCCAGATCTGAGCTTCAGGGCCATCCCTTCTCGGCCCAGCTCCTTTCCTCTCCAGACTTGAGCCCACCTTTTAAAAGCAGCCTCCATTTATTTAGTTTTTAGGTCCCTATTGAATCCCCCCTACCCCGCCCGGCCCGGCCCACCCAGGAAAAAGATATTCAATTGAATGTCACTTCTAAAATCAGCAGTTGGCCGATGTCAAATGGAGCGAGATGGATTTTTTTCATGAAAGATGAAAAGAAGGTGCTAGAGAAGAAGGCTTGTTTTGTTTGGTTTTGTCTTAGATTTTTGTTTTTGTTTCCCCTGCATGGGAAGAGTGCTTTAATCGTCACTGTCGTTGTGTTATAACGGTTATGTAGTGCACAGTGGAAGAAGGAAGGAAAATTCTGAAAGTGCGTGAGCGGGGTAACCCCTTGTAAACGACGGGGGGCGGGGGCTACAGCCTAAAATGAGTCCGCCCTGGGTGCATTCCTTTCCCCTGCAGCCCCGCCGATTTGCCGTCTTTTCCCCCGCTGGGACGACCAGCTCGGGTGCCGCCAGCTCCTGGCCGATTGAAATTCTCTGAACTTCAAAAGCTGCTTCCGCCACGACTAGGAGTGGCAGAGGGTGGGTGGGAATCCTGGGGAGACGAAGGGAGATAAGTCGCCCCGGTCGTTTTAAATAGAATCAGCTTCTGCCACCAGACGCGTGGATCCACGGAAACAGCTTCGCTTTGCTTGAAAACCCGGCTCCGAAAAGAGGCGGTGGCTGCTGTGGGAGCTGCCTTGGTGACCCGAGGCCCAAGAGGTCGACAGCGGTCCTGAGCCGTCCAGAGCACCTTCGAAGCCTGGAGCGCGGACTCTGCGGCAAGCTTGCACCTGGTGAAAGGCAAAGGGCGAAAGTCCGGGGAGCTCGAGCTGGAGCGGCTGCTTCCTGCCGGCAAAAGAAAAAAATGATCAGGGAAAGAAAAAAAAAAAAAACTTTTCTTCGGTCAAACATAAGAACAAAGAGAGCATCCTTTTAAATAGTAAGGGCTGCCCAGCTGTCGTCCTCTGGTCGTCGGTGACCTTCCAAGCTGTGGCAGGCTATATTCCCTGGAAGTTTCTATGAAGCTTGATCTCCGCAGCTAGAGGGACTGGTGGTGGGAGTGTCAGCCAGTCAGCCCCACATCTCCCACCACAGCTGTCCTGGCCTCTTTCGGAGCCCAGAGTCACTGAGTGGTGCCCCTTGGGGGAGCAACCCCCGGGAGAACAAGATTCAGGGAAGTCAAACTACAGGGATTCAGTCCGAGATCAAAGCTGAACCGATTCCCTACCCATCTTCCACCCTGTCTTGGGCGGAGGCCGGGGCAGGGGAGGGGAGACGACGCGGGGTGGGGGCTGTAAACGGAGCTGGAGGCTGTGGAGAGCTGCAGTGGGCAGCATAGAAGTTTCCCTCTTTAGAAGGTTGAACTGGAGGCTCCTGAAGTCCGTTTTGGACAAGTACGCTGCCTCTGGGCCTCCTGATGTAAAGGGCACGAGTGACCAGAGACACTGTTCCAATTTCTGGGGCAAGGAACTGGGTGCTTCCTGGCCCCCCAGTGCCTGACGCTTCTCACAACCCCCAAATGCAACCAGTCCTGCCTTTTCTCCCTCTGTACCTTGTCCTCTAGTTCGTCCGAAAACCAGATTCTAGTGGCTTCCGGGCCCTGTTCTGCCGCTGTCTGCCTAGAGGTTCATATTCCCCACTCACTGAGGGGACTGCAGTCTGGAGCAGATCACCAAAGGACTGACACCTGAGGCCCTTCCTAAGCTGATGCTAACCTCCTCCCTCCCTTTAGACAAAGCCGGGATGGGCTCCATGCAATTTGTTCTCTCCTGTGCAAGAGAGTCCTTTAACATCTGCACCAACAAAGGCCTTGAGATAGCTCCTTGCCTTGCCCAAACAGAAGTGGCATGGCCTCTTACATCATCACTGTTCTGAACTCTCCCTTCCTTCCTTCCTTCCTTCCTTCCTTCCGTTCTTTTTCTTTCTTTCGTTCTTTCTTTCTTCCTTGTTTTGTTGTGTTTTTCCAGACAGGTTTTTTTCTGTGTAGCCCTGGTTGTCCTGGAACACACTCTGTAGACCAGGCTGGCCTCAAACTCATAGCAATCCATACATGCCTCTGCCTCCTGAGTGCTGGGATTAAAGATATGAAGGAACCACCACTGCCTGGTGAGACTTGCTATTATTACAAAGCTATCTGACATTCACGTCTCTTTTCCTCTACCCAAGAGTTCATTAAAGGACTCTGATAGACTTTTCTCACTCAGTTGTAGGATGACGAGTAATCCTAACAAATGGCCAGGGCATGACTGTCAGGCCCAGGTTCCTCCCCTGTCTTCTTGCCTGTCTTTGGGGAAATCCCTCACTTCACCCCACAGCCTTTGGGTTTGGTTTGGTTTTGGTTTTTTGAGAC